AACTATATGGCAAGAGCCACAGGCCATCGGGAAATATGATCCACTTAATTTGTGTTACTCTTGGCCTACTCATAGCCTACCCATTGATGGTACAATGAGCCGACGTAAAAATGTTTTTGAAATAGTAACAGTGCATCGACCACGTGTCTCTTACATGTTCCCACATCTGTGCACATAAATACTTCCAACACATGACAAACAACACCTGCTGCTAGCTCATTTTAAATTTGATTTAAAAGCTACACAAACAGCAAAAGAATGTTTGTGTGCAACTGTGATAAGCACGGACCATTAAACTAAACTGCACAGTTTCCTTGCATAGAAGAATCAGTGCAATGGAGGACACCAAAAGCCTCACTTTATATTTCAGCAAAACAGGCATAAGGGAAAAAGTTTGCGAAAAAAAATTATTAGTAGATGAACTGCAAAATACAAAACATGAACAAAGCACTACCAATAAAAAAAGTATCAGTGTTTCGTGGAAATGAAAATCATTAGGCCCCATTCACTTCACCTCATTTGCTATACTCGCTTCACTTCAGTTGACACCTAATCTACGCCCCGACCTAGATCACTGTACACTGCCATGACACGTCACTAAGAAGCCACATTCTTGATATTGAAACTGAAAGTGTTTCTTCAATGTAGTGCTATTAAATACATATTCGATGCATTCCCAGGTGCCGAGAAACTCTTTTAAGGGTTCTTGAGACCAGTGTTCTTATTTGTGTTAATGAAAAATTATGCTGAAGTAACACACACACAAAAAAACACCAGGCCTGCACGAACCACCCAGCACAGTCAGAGCAAAAGCTGGAAGAGCGGCCTTTCAGAGCCTTTCCTAAACTTTATTTGGGTAACTGCTACAAGCATACTTGCTGGGTACCCACTACACCATTATTAATCACAACTTTTGGCTGGCATTCACTATGCTATCCTTCGTCATTCTTCGGAAAAGCGCGGTATCCACCAAACACTTGCAGTGTGTGAGGACGATGAGGAATTACGCCTGAAGTGGGTATGTGCCACAGTTAATAGGTGATCAAGAACAAGCTTTTGCAATGGATTGGAGTATTGGACGACCCACTCATTACACTATTAGGAATGTGTGACGCCTGGTTGTTACTTTGCTGCTCTAAAACGCTTTAATACTCATATTAACGTGATTCCTTTCCCACCATCAAGCCTGCTTAAGGCAAGTTTTTGAACAAGTCGCAAGCTCTGGCGTGGCTCAATGGTAGAATACTGGGTTGGCACACAGCAGACCCGGATTCGAACCGCACTGTGTCCTTGGTGTTCTTTATTTACCGTTTTTTTTCTCTTTTTTTTCGTGCGATAGTGGTTACGGACACCGGCGGCAGTGGCGGACAACTGTGACGCCACACAGTGCCCCATGTTGTGATCTCATAACTAGCTTTTCCTGTAAAACTGATGATTAATTTCTAAAAAGGAGCTGGCTGTTTCCATATTTGGCTATTTCCAAAGTATGCAAATCCTTGGATGCTTTGTGGGACCAAAGGACCAACCTGCAACAGCACAGGTATCACTGTTAACGTGAGAACGAACACACACAGTGCACCTACACATACTGCTAACTATTGCATCAATCAATCTTTCACATACAAAACTACTTGTAATCATTTGCATTTTTGCCAATGCAATCAAACTATTGCGAATTTCAGTAATTACATGCATCCAGTTTGAACGGCACAAAAGGATTCGAGAAGCTTACTTCTTTTTAGACAAAAAAAAAAAGAAAAAAGCTTAGCGGATGTAATGTGTCGTAATCGGAGCACAAATGGAAATTAAGGCTCGTGTTACTTCAACGGGATGTGAAACTGCAATAATCACATAACTCAATGCAGACACTGCCGTTTACCATTTTTCAGTGGGCATGCACTTTGAAAAAGGCAAAGCTTGTATCCTAGCCCATGACTCTGCTTCTGTGATACACGCTGGAGGACAACAAAGAAAAATGGAGATAGAAAAGGCTCTGGAAACTCAAAAGGCAGTTGAGGCATGTGTCAGCAATGCTTCTATTTCACTGTTTAAAAAAGAAAGCGGACTATCAGTGCAAGCAAAAACCAGACATGTGCATGTAGTACATATAAGCGGCGGTGAAATCCATCACGAAAAATATTTCGTCCGTGACGTGGCGCTTGCTTTATATAAAATAACATCTCAATTAACTATATCAACTACTATCTTATATTCCCATCTATGTACTTCTACCATTTCTTCGACATTAAACAGAGTATATACTTCTAAACGTCATGCCACAAAAATAAGGATTCACAGAAAAATTACGGACTGCAGTTGCCACAGATTAGGGGGCATTACCTGATTTTGGTGTGCATGTGATCTTTGAGGCTCTTCCTTCAAACAGGATGGATTGCCATAGAAACAGGAAAAAGGATGGTCTTTTGTTGAGTCCGTGTAAGCTTGCTACATTCAGTAACATGCAAGAGACGCTACCATCATTCATGTAAACAAACACTGTTGCTGTTACCACCTCCTGCTCATCAGCACGACTATTCCACGAGTCCTGGCTGGTTCCAGTTTTACGGGCATACCCTGATCACATCGATGACTCTGCTTATAACTCTCTTTAACGACTTCCAATTCCTTCCAGCGATATGTGCCATTCTACACTGTGACTTACAGAATGATGCTCCTTACCTAACCTCAAATAATAACTATAATCGTAATAAACTTTTCCCTCCCATTCCACCTACCTTCCTTCAAAGGAAGCCTGCAGATGATTCACTTTTATGTTTGCACTGTTTTCTTGTAAAGGATGCATTGCAATGGATATTTAATGCGTGAAAAATCAATATCTTGCAAAAAACTCGAGCATTTAAAAGCCGTTTGATGCACTTAGGAAGTTACGTTACCCCTTTAAAACCTACTAAACCTCCACTTTCCCCACATAAAAAAGGTATGCCACACACAATTAAGTCGTCTTCTTTTCATGGCAATGAAGCATGTGATCTCTGAGTTCCTTTTACAGGATAAAGGATTCAGGGCACAAGACACAGGAAAATGGTGCATAGTTTTGATTCTTGAAGACTGCAGAAATGTTATAGGTTCTAACAAATGATTGCCAGCAATTTGCTTTTTAGATGTCAGTGATCATATTAGCACTTACAATCACGCGGCGTACACATTTTTGAGTAACTGAACAAAGTGTGCTGTGTTCCTTGGCTAACGTTGACAGCTCATTCGAAATCTTAAAACGCTTTTCAGCAGGCCACAATTGTACTGCGGCAAAGGTGGCTTAGGTAGCGTCCTGCACAAATTAATACAAGACCAAGATTTTTTTTAACCGCTACACCCCCTCCCATCTTTTTTTTTTTATGTTGGGTTCAGGTTTAGGACAAAATGTCTGGGTGCGCGTTTCACTAAAGTAACAACGGCACACACTCATTGGCCCTGGGGCGGCATAGGATACCTTTCAGGTGTGCAGTCGCTAGGGCAACTAACGTGGTCGCCGGCTGCGCCACGTTCAGAGCATGCCGAGTTTGATCACGCGCAGTAACAAAGGCATGTGCTTCCAGCTTTCGTGCTGAACATGCCATGGCCGCGTTCGCCGACTATGAAATTCATACTTCCCGCGAAATGCAACTGGCTACGGCAACGCATTTCTGTCGTGAAGTAGCGTTGTCCCGCCGATAGATACCTGCTGCGGACAGCGGACCGATGCGTGCGTGCCGTTGTTACTTTATCTGGTCGATCATGTTTCATGAAGGTCCTCGCTTATAATGAGCATCTTGCGCCTAGATTTAGCGTTACGGTCAGCGCACGTGGATCCCTTGATTGATTGATGACGCATACTACAGGTGGCCAACGTGGCCTCCATTTCTCCCCGAAATTACCGCGATTGAGAACATTTTCAGGCCAGTCGGGCGTTTTGGCGCAGCTCGGTCCCCAAATCAGAAATTTTATGATATTGGCGCAATTCGCACAACTATTGCACTCCTGTACATTGCAAGTTTTCAAGCACGTGTGACACAAGGGACCTGTCACTGTGCAGTGTGGTGCCGTATTGCGTCTTTTGCTGCCCTCACCCTCGCCGCTGGAAGAAACTGGGCGTGCCCCTTCCCTCTTTTTTTTTTTGATTGGAACTAAGGGAGTGCTTGACCTTTCCATTTTATTTAGACACTTCTGAACTCAAGGGTTTTCCTCAACAAGAAATTTGGGAAAGACAAAAGCCTTAATGCAAGCGCTGAGGCGCACCAAAAGTCCACTATCATCAGTAATGTAAATATAGGCTACCATGAACAATGTAAATAAACATCTTGCTGTTATTAGCTCCTGCTCCTCGCCTCAACTTCTCTCTGAAACCTGGCAAGTTCCAGTCTTATGGGCAGACCCTGACCACATCGGAGGAACTCTGCTTCCAACTCCCTTTTACGATGTCCCATCACTTCTAACAATTTGTGCCATTCTACAGTGTGACTTGCTGAATGATGCTCCTTACGTAATTTCAGATAATAACTATAACCTGAACAAACTTCACCCTCCCATTCCATTTGCACTTCTCAAAAGAAAGCCTGCAGGTGCCTCACTTTTATGGTAGCACTGTTACCTTGGATGCATTACAATGGATATCAAGAATGTGAAAAATCAACATCTGGAGAGAAACTCGAGCATGTAAAGCTCGTTTGATGCCCTTAGGAAGTTATGTTATCCCATTAAACTGTAATCTGTAAAACCTTCCTTTTTCCACAAGAAAAAGATTGCATGCCAATCTCATTTAAGCCATCTTCTTTTCATGACAACGAAGCATGTGATCTCTGAGGTTGTTTTTTCGCAAAAAGGATGCAGGGCACAAGATGCACGAGAATTGTCGCTCTTCGGAATGCATTGCCATGTGCTGAACGAGCGTGGTTTTGTGACCAAAGGATGCACTGCATTGGTCACAGGAAAAAGAACGCTCTCCTGTGTGGGTGCGCAAGTGGCTCACAAGATGTTGTTTCTGAGAAAATGATGCACCACACTGGACACACGAAAAGGGACGCTGTCCTGTATGTGTGCGCATGTGGGCGATGAGGCTTCCCCTGAGTTTAAAGGATGCATCGCAGTGACTACAGGAAAAGGGACGTTCTCCCGTGTGGGTGCGCAAATGAGCCACGAGCTTGCAGTTCTCAGAAAATGCAGCTGGACACAAGTGGCACAGGAATGGCTGCTTGCCTGTGTGGGTGCGAAAATGTCTCTTGAGATCTGATTTTTTTTTTTTTTGTCACATAGCTGCACTGCGGGCAGGAATGCAGTTTCACTTGTACTGACACCCATGAAGGGGAATGCTCAGGGCAGGGATCCAACGACGAGGACTCTGCATCATAGAAAGCATAGGAAGAGAACGCTTGCCACGTGTCATGCACTATGTGGCAGTGCACTATATGACTTCATATGACTACCTAACTATATGGCAAGAGCCACAGGCCATCGGGAAATATGATCCACTTAATTTGTGTTACTCTTGGCCTACTCATAGCCTACCCATTGATGGTACAATGAGCCGACGTAAAAATGTTTTTGAAATAGTAACAGTGCATCGACCACGTGTCTCTTACATGTTCCCACATCTGTGCACATAAATACTTCCAACACATGACAAACAACACCTGCTGCTAGCTCATTTTAAATTTGATTTAAAAGCTACACAAACAACAAAAGAATGTTTGTGTGCCACTGTGATAAGCACGGACCATTAAACTAAACTGCGCAGTTTCCTTGCATAGAAGAATCAGTGCAATGGAGGACACCAAAAGCCTCACTTTATATTTGAGCAAAACAGGCATAAGAGAAAAAGTTTGCGAAAAAAAATTATTAGTAGATAAACTGCAAAATACAAAACATGAACAAAGCACTACCAATAAAAAAAGTATCAGTGTTTCGTGGAAATGAAAATCATTAGGCCCCATTCACTTCACCTCATTTGCTATACTCGCTTCACTTCAGTTGACACCTAATCTACGCCCCGACCAAGATCACTGTACACTGCCATGACACACCACTAAGAAGCCACATTCTTGATATTGAAACTGAAAGTGTTTCTTCAATGTAGTACTATTAAATACATATTCGATGCATTCCCAGGTGCCGAGAAACTCTTTTAAGGGTTCTTGAGACCAATGTTCTTATTTGTGTTAATGAAAAATTATGCTGAACACACACACAAAAATACACCAGGCCTGCACGAACCGCCCAGCACAGTCAGACCGAAAGCTGGAAGAGCGGCCTTTCAGAGCCTTTCCCAAAGTTTATTTGGGTAACTGCTACAAGCATACTTGCTGGGTACCCACTACACCATGATTAATTACAACTTTTGGCTGGCATTTACTATGCTATCCTTCGTCATTCTTCGGAAAAGCGCGGTATCCACCAAACACTTGCAGTGTGTGATGACAATGAGAAATTACGCCTGAAGTGGGTATGTGCCACAGTTAATAGGTGATCAAGAACAAGCTTTTGCAATGGATTGGAGTACTGGACGATCCACTCATTACACTATTAGGAATGTGTGACGCCTGGTTGTTACTTTGTGTTTCTAAAACGCTCTAATACTCATATTAACGTGATTCCTTTCCCACCATCAAGCCTGCTTAAGGCAAGTTTTTGAACAAGTCGCAAGCTCTGGCGTGGCTCAATGGTAGAATACTGGGTTAGCACACAGCAGACCCGGATTCGAACCGCACTGTGTCCTTGGTGTTCTTTATTCACTGTTTTTTTTTTCTCTTTTTTTTTCGTGCGATAGTGGTTACGGACACCGGCGGCAGTGGCGGAAAACTGTGAGGCCACACATGCCCCATGTTGTGATCTCATAACTAGCTTTTCCTGTAAAACTGATGATTAATTTCTAAAAAGGAGCTGGCTGTTTCCATATTTGGCTATTTCCAAAGTATGCAAATCCTTGGATGCTTTGTGGGACCAAAGGACCAACCTGCAACAGCACAGGTATCACTGTTAACGTGAGAACGAACACACACAGTGCACCTACACATACTGCTAACTATTGCATCAATCAATCTTTCACATACAAAACTACTTGTAATCATTTGCATTTTTGCCAATGCAATCAAACTATTGCGAATTTCAGTAATTACATGCATCCAGTTTGAACGGCACAAAAGGATTCGAGAAGCTTACTTCTTTTTAGACAAAAAAAAAAGAAAAAAGCTTAGCGGATGTAATGTGTCGTAATCGGAGCACAAATGGAAATTAAGGCTCGTGTTACTTCAACGGGATGTGAAACTGCAATAATCACATAACTCAATGCAGACACTGCCGTTTACCATTTTTCAGTGGGCATGCACTTTGAAAAAGGCAAAGCTTGTATCCTAGCCCATGACTCTGCTTCTGTGATACACGCTGGAGGACAACAAAGAAAAATGGAGATAGAAAAGGCTCTGGAAACTCAAAAGGCAGTTGAGGCATGTGTCAGCAATGCTTCTATTTCACTGTTTAAAAAAGAAAGCGGACTATCAGTGCAAGCAAAAACCAGACATGTGCATGTAGTACATATAAGCGGCGGTGAAATCCATCACGAAAAATACTTCGTCCGTGACGTGGCGCTTGCTTTATGTAAAATAACATCTCAATTAACTATATCAACTAGTATCTTATATTCCCATCTATGTACTTCTACCATTTCTTCGACATTAAACAGAGTATATACTTCTAAACGTCATGCCACAAAAATAAGGATTCACAGAAAAATTACGGACTGCAGTTGCCACAGATTAGGGGGCATTACCTGATTTTGGTGTGCATGTGATCTTTGAGGCTCTTCCTTCAAACAGGATGGATTGCCATAGAAACAGGAAAAAGGATGGTCTTTTGTTGAGTCCGTGTAAGCTTGCTACATTCAGTAACATGCAAGAGACGCTACCATCATTCATGTAAACAAACACTGTTGCTGTTACCACCTCCTGCTCATCAGCACGACTATTCCACGAGTCCTGGCTGGTTCCAGTTTTATCGGGCATACCCTGATCACATCGATGACTCCGCTTATAACTCTCTTTAACGACTTCCCATCCCTTCCAGCGATTTGTGCCATTCTACACTGTGACTTACAGAATGATGCTCCTTACCTAACCTCAAATAATAACTATAACCTGAACAAACTTTTCCCTCCCATTCCACCTACCTTCCTTCAAAGGAAGCCTGCGGATGATTCACTTTTATGTTTGCACTGTTTTCTTGTAAAGGATGCATTGCAATGGATATCTAACGCGTGAAAAATCAATATCTTGCAAAAAACTCGAGCATTTAAAAGCCGTTTGATGCACTTAGGAAGTTACGTTACCCCTTTGAAACCTACTAAACCTCCACTTTCCCCACAAAAAAAAGTATGCCACACACAATTAAGTCGTCTTCTTTTCATGGCAATGAAGCATGTGATCTCTGAGTTCCTTTTACAGGGTAAAGGATTCAGGGCACAAGACACAGGAAAATGGTCGCTCTTCGGAATGGGTTGCCATGTGCCGAGCTAGCGTGGTTTTGCGACGAAAGGATATACTGCATTGGTCACAGGAAAAGGGACGCTCTCCTGTGTGGGTGCCCATGTGTCTAACAAGAGGTGCCTTCTGCGAAAACGACGCGTCACACTGGTCACACGAAAAGGGACGCTTTCCCGAATGAGTGCGCATGTGGCTCTTAAGGACTCCACTGAGTGTAAAGGATGCATTGCAGTGAAGACAGGAATAATGATTTTCTCCTGTATGTGTGCGCATGTGGGTCTTGAGGGCCCCTCCGATCGAAAAGTATGCATCACAGTGAATACAGGAATAGGGACGTTCTCCAGTGTGGGTGCGCAAGTGAGCCACGAGCTTGCAGTTCTCAGTGAATGCAGCAGGACACAAGTGGCACGGGAAGGGCTGCTCGCCCGTGTGGGTGCGAAGATGTCTCTTGAGATCTGATTTTTTTTTGGTCACATAGCTGCACTGCGGGCAGAAATGCACTTTCACTTGTAGTGACGGGCATGAAGGGGAGTGCTCCAGGGATGCCTCCAATGACGAGTAAGCTGCAACGTCATAGAAAACATAAGAAGGCAACACTTACCACGTGTCACACACTATGTGGCCGTGCACTATATGACTTCATATGACTACCTAACTATATGGCAAGAGCCACAGGCCATCGGGAAATATGGTCATTTAAATTGTGATACTCTTGGCCTCCTCATAGCCTACCGACAGATGTTACAATATGCCTAACTATAAATGTTTCTAAAATGGTAACTCTGCATCGACCCTGTGTCACTCACAAGTTTTCGCATCTCTGCGCAATAAATACTTCAAGACTTGCATGAAAGCACCTGCTGCTAGCTCATCGAAATTTGATTCCAAAGCTGCACAAACAACGAGAAAGCTTTACATGTGTGCTGCTACAATAAGCACAGACCGTTAAACTAAACAGTAAAGTAGTTTCCTTGCACAGAAAAATTAGTGCAATTGAAAAAAACAAAAGCATTACTTCAGTGAACATTTGAACAAACAAGGTGTAAGGGGTAACGTGTGACAGCAGAACTTAATATAGAACAACCTGTAAAATACAGCACAAGAACAAAGTGCTCCAAGCAAAAAATAACAATCAGTTTAACTTCACTTCACCTCCTCATTTGCTATCCATGCTTCGCTTCAATTGACACTTCCACCACGCCAGACCTATGTCACTGTACACTTTATTGATGATGTTATTGACGACAATCAATTATGCTTTAGTGTAATGGGTGGTCCTTTTGAACAAGTGCGTACATAAAATGCCCACTTATTTAATATTCACATGCTGTGGTGCTTGCTGTAACATTACACATTTGCCATGCAATATTGCGTGTGCTATGAAACTCCTCGCACTATGTATCAGCTGGATAGTTTTTCCTTTTCAAAAGTGTTGTTAGCCTGAACAGTGTTGTTAGCCATTGCACCATTGAAATTTAGATAAAATAAGCTAGCTAACACTATTGCCTTAATAATATGATAGCTTTCTAACCACGCCAATGTATCAGTCACTTCCATGAATATAAATGTGTAGACACTCCATTTTATTGCTACATAATACTCACTATCCTCAACTAAAATTATAGCTATTTCTGAAAGCCACAATTGTAAAGCTGTACTCAGAAGCCTAAATTAACGATTTACTTTTCACTGTGCAATGTATTGATCAACTTAAAAGTGACACATGCATTTTAGGCATCACAGTTTTCATGTCAGGACATATCAAGTGCACCAACTTGCATAGAAAATCAGTAAAAAAATGAAAAACATTTAGCTGTAATAGAATATTTAAAATGTTCACAATATAAAAGTGAAGTGCCACTACAGAGTGTTACAGTAACTAGTCTACAAGACTTTTTTAAGTTACACCGGCACACACATTTGAACTTTCATACAGATACAATATTATTCTTTGCAAACTATTTAGTCTAAAGCAATGCTTTGAAAGCACAAGTCAAACTTATGCTCATAATTATAAATAAACCCGCTCCTCTCTTAAAATGTTCAATAGACCAAAAAAGCAGAAAAGGAGTATCCGATTTCACTACACTCAATACCACCGGTCCAACGGTGCTACCAATATTCGCTGCTATATCATCGTCACAAATGCTGAAGGGACACCCAAAACTGAAAATCAATTTCTAAAAAACAAAGAAGCTGTCAATATTGTGAGCATCGTCACCGACTCTTCTTTATCAATTTGACTTGTCATCATTTGTATAATTCCTCATCTGTAGATACCATCATCAGTGTGTGCCAGCTCGAGCTCGTCTAGAATAAAGCTCTTCCTCATAAGTGGTGACGATGCTTCTCGATCCCCAAGTCCTCTCGCACGTTACCACAGGAGCTCCGCTCGGGTCGTCGTCTACTACTACCTATTATGGCAGTGCAAGACAATCCTAATTTATCCAACACCACCGGACAATGTGCAGCCTCCGCCGTCGACTCTGGGCATCCACAGCCAGCAGCGTGATCCGCCAGTATTCTTGGGTCTCAAAGGGGATGACGTTGAAGAATGGCTACACACCTATGACCTCAAAAGCGAGTTGAACAGGTGGGATACTCTACACAAATTACGTACGGTTCCTTTCTACCTGACTGATGTTGCCAAACCCTGGTTTTGGAACCACCTCCAAGATCTTCGCGACTGGGACACGTTCGCATCGGCAGCTTCGTCAGATTTTTGGTTCCCTCAATGTTCGTGCAGGGGCAGATATGAAGAAGCTTGCTGAACGCATTCAACTGGCGGGTGAATCATACACCTCGTACATTGAGAATGTTCTTGCCTTGTGCAAGCGTGTAAACTCATCTATGCCTGAAGGTGACCAAATACGCCATATTATCAAAGGCATAAATACCGTCGCATTCAACGCCCTTGCGTCGCAAAATCCTACCACTACTCAAGATGTCATCACCATTTGCCAGAGACTAGAAGAACTTCAGTCTCTTCGTCTCTGCCATTATGCCTCGGACACTCGTCTTCCTGCGTTCCTTGACATCCATGCCCTGGTCCGCGACATTGTTCGTGAGGAGCTTCATGGGCGCTGCTCTTCCTGCGCTCCACCATCTACTTTAACCTCAGCTCCAACCAACTTGCGGGACATGATTAGGCAAGAGATTGCATCTGCGTCACATCCACCATGTTCCGCCGAATCCAGACCTCGTCAGGTACCAACGTACGCAGAAGTTGCCGCGCTCTGAGCACCCACCACTATCCCTGCGGCTACACCTAGGTGGCCATGTACCTGTGGCATCAGTGTCACCACCGATGCGCCCACAGCCCTATTACACCGTGCCGCCTGCTCCTCGCCCAATCTGTTATTATTGCGGCTATAAAACTCAAATATCTCGCTTCTGCCGAAGGCACCAACGGGACGAGCAACGTGGCTACGCTACAGAGGAACGTGGATGCTTCAGTCCACTCATGAACTACCAGCGCACGCCTTACCGGTCTTCCTTTCAGCGTTCGCCCTCTCCACCTTAGAGCATGGGTCTGCCTGTGAACTCCCGTGAGTCTCGCCGCCGCTCACCATCTCCCGATCGCCGTTCCGTGTCGCCTCTGCGACCTGCTTCCAATGTTCTGAATGCCCACTCGGAAAACTCCCCAATGCAGTTTTAGGAGGGAAACTGCATCCACCGGAGAGCCAGCAATTTCTCCAGACAGCCCATCGACCTTGTTAACAGTGTTAGTAGAAGGTATACGCTTCGAAGCTCTAGTGGATACTGGCGCAGCTATTTCGATTATTCGCTCTGACCTTTGCTCCCGTCTCCGCAAAGTCACAACACCTTACTCGGGCCCGTCTCTCCGTGCTGCGACGAACGCCATTAGTCGCCCACTCGCCAGGTGTACAGTTCGTGTTTTCATAGACGGTATTCGTCATCATATTGCCGTTGCAGTTCTCCGTGAGTGCACCCATGAACTCATTTTAGGGTGAGATTTCCTTTCGTCTGCATGCGCTTCTACATCTTGTCGTCAGCGCCTCATCCACCTCAATCCCACCAACTCTTCTGTATCGGAACACAGAAGAGCGCATTCGTCTTGTCACCACTTCAGATTATGTTCTTTGGCCATCCCGAAAAGAAGTAATTAGCGTTAATTGCATCAACATTGTGTATGGCGATGTGCTTCTACTACCTTATGGCCACACGGTACATCGAGGCATTCTGATCATTCCAGGCCTTGTTCATTTTTAAGAAGAGTCTGCTTTTATTACTGCGTTGAATCAGACCCCCGAACCCTTATTGTTGCCCTGTGGATCAACAGTCACATGCGCTATTGACCCGCATCCCGTTGCAATTGTTGCCCTTCCAAGTCAAGAAGACCTACCAGAGCAAAACGCGTCGCCACTCAACTCTCCCACTCCTCTATCGGTGACGATAAGCCCTGATCTGACACCAGCCCAGAGTCAAGAATCGCTGAATTTATTAAACAGACATCGCACATTGTATGACGACTTCGGCGACTCACCGAATTCAGATTGACGGCTCCCGAATTATTCACCGGCGCCCATACCGCGTGTCTCTTACAGAAAGAAAGATAATCAAGGAAAATGTCTCAGACATGCTTTGACGTGATATCATACGTCCTTCTTCGAGTCCATGGTCTTCGCCAGTTGTTGATTGATTGATTGATTTATAGGGTTGAACGTCCCAAAACCACCATATGATTATGAGAGACGCCGTAGTGGAGGGCTCCGGACATTTCGACCACCTGGGGTTCTTTAACGTGCACCCAAGGTCTTCGCCAGTTGTTTTGGTGCAAAAGAAAGACGGAACAGTACGTTTTTGGGTTGATTACCGGGCACTGAACAAAATAACGCGCAAAGATGTTTACCCTCTCCCACGAATCGACGACACAGTAGATTCGTTGCATGTCGCAGAATATTTTTCCAGCCTAGACCTGTGATTGGGCTACTGGCAAATACCAGTGTCCTAATCTGACAAAGAGAAGAGGGCTTTTGCCATCCCAGATGGACTATATGAATTTAAAATAATGCCTTTCGGACTTTGTAACGCGCGCGCTACCTTCGAACGTATGATCGATAGCGTACTACGTGGC